AAAAAAGTGAGGCCTCAGGGGGGTGTGGGGCATGGGGTGCTGGGGTCAAGCCCACAGTGGCGCTTAAAGGTTTTAAAAAACTGAGGGGAATTGATCAAAACTGGAGCAGACAAAATATGGACCAGATGTGCATGGCGACCAATCAGCTTCTCTCTTCAGTTTGTTCAGTTAAGATTTGGAAATGAAAGAGAGAAGCCGATTGGTGGCCATGCACAGCTGCTCCAGTTTTGATAAATCCCCCTAATTGTTTCTTTGTAAAGCACACTAGGTGCGTTGCACAACAGCATGCTTCAATCGATCACTACCGTGCTCTTAATGCGACGCATAAGGTCTCGTTCACACCTAGGCGTATTGCCTATGCGCGACCGTCGCACGTTTTTTCACCGCGATTCGTGGTAAAAAAAGTCGCGCGACCGTCGTGCGTTTCCGAAGGCTACTTGGCTGTATCCCAATGGAAACGTGCAACAAAACAGCCCAAAGTAGTACCTGTACATTTTCAGGCGTGGGCCGTTTTGTAGCGCGTTAGGGACGGGCGGAAATACGCCAAGGTGGGAACGAGACCATTGAATACAATGGGATTTATATTTTTGAGCGTTTTGTAGAGCGTTCGTCGAGCGTAGAACGCGCTACAAAACGTTCAGGTGTGAACGAGGGCTAAGTGTGAACGGGCCCTTTATCATCATCAACCTTTACTGACCCAAAGAAAGGCAACTAGCCCTGTGAAGTGTGCTGCTGTTTGCTATAGCAAAGTCCCAGGATCAACATCCTACTCTGAATTTGTAGAATTAGTTTAACTATTGTGGTCCATCCAGTCCTGAGAAGTAGACAGCACAGCCTGGTGACTTGTCTTTTCTCTACTGCAGTTACAGCAATACATCTAGGTCAGTGGTTCTCAACCTGTGTAACCTCAGGACCCACATTTGTCCTTGGTCATTAGGGCATGACCCAAGTTGCACTGCGATCGAACTGTGGGAGGGAGGTGCGTTTTGGATGCCATTCAAATGAATGGCAACGTAACACACCTCCCACACCAGAACGCGTGGTAGGTGCGATTGCATGGTACACTGCTTTACTTGCATGGGACTGCCCATTCTCACTACCTTACGAGAACTGGAGCGGATCCTCAGCTTGGGGTCCAGTGTGGGCTGCTGTGATGTGACGGAGCTCCATCCATGTGTGCATTGCTTGTACAGCTCTCTTGTGCTAGAGGGCCTGGCAGCCAGAATGTGACATCACTCCGGTCCAGTAGTAATTCCAAAAGATGTCACCAGCACTCTAAAAGTAGATTCAATATATTTTAATGACAACGGTCATTCAAAATCACAAGTACTTTCGGGGCCACGTTGGGTCCCCGTCATCAGGCTCAGAACCGGTCCAGGCACCACTGCAGGACACGTGAGAGAGCTGTAGATATGGAGGGAGCTCCCTCGCAGCCATAGTCGCTTCACTTCAAGCTTAGGCTGGGTTCACACCTGGGCGTTACCATAGGCGCGTTTTATGCGCGTTTTTTCAGCTCGTTTTTTAGTTCAGTGAAACGCACGTTCGACGCTCGTTTTTATACCTCCCTGGCGGTATGATTTTTTTTTTTCCTTTTTTTCGGGGGTTTTTTTTTTC